TAAGCCGGATTCATACATGCTTATTTAACTAATTACATGCTATGCCCGTTTATACACATTGGCTACAACGACGATAAGATATCCCCATCTCCAGTGGTACGCGTAAACTTTGCGTAGTCATTCCGCATGAATTCCCACACCGGTAATATTTGTTTACGAGTTTAAGCGTTTTGTCACGGATGGCGCCATGTTCACTTTGTCTGAACTTCCACATCGGTAATATTTGTCTACTAGTTTGAGCGTTTTGCCACGGATGTCGCCACCAGTCAAAAGCGCAGATTTCGGGAAGCAGATAATTTTTGCCGCAATATACATTATATAGTATGCTCAGAACGGTAAGAATTATTCATTGTATTGGAAAGATTACATGCTATAGTGAAATGAAAAAAGAAATTTACCACGCACTCGATGATATTGTAATAACAATTGCTTTTTCGTGGGATGTTAGATATTCTTTAATCCTCTATGGGCCGAATATTTGTTTGTGAATATAAAAAAATTTATACATTACGAAATTAATAAATATTAACCTATGAATGCAAATTAACAATATATTCAATAGTCTTAATAATTTTATTAAAACGAATATATTTTGTAAGTTTGAAACTACAATGACATTGAACGTTTAAATCTGCGTGTATACAAATTTAAGTTAATTAATTAGTTATTTTCATTCATCATTTTCCAGTAAAAAATCAAATAAATCAATTTAATCCATTATACTGATGCATGACTTTAAATTCACATGGGAAGAAATTGTACAGTAAATACAGTATATTTTATTCCAACAATTTTTACTTTATGGGGTATTCAATTTAGATGGGACAAACAGAAGGTGAACAAGCAATGAACAATAACAGCAACAACTAATCGAGTATTTTTTTATTCCTCGTTAAATTTATGCAGAATACAGTACTAATTATACACGAGGTGTATTTATACTTTGTATTTATATTCATATTAATATATTCTCCCGTTTTGTTTTACGTCTTTGTTTTAGTTACATCACATCAAACGGACACAGTGCTGAAAGTTACTGATTATGTACACATCTTTTGCGGTAAATGGTGCCGACGAAAACGGAAGTATACTAGGGTTCTTGGAAAAAACGAATGAAATAGAATCAAAGGAGAACTCATCCGGTCATTCGGTTTTTCTGTAGAGATTCGTGGTACACATTTATTCGGCGAGCCTTATTGACAATTATGTTCAGCTAGGCTCGCTGTTAAGTAATATCTCCGTGTACGCGACGGATAAACAGTGAACGTGTACTTTTGTTTTTCTTTCGGGGAAGTAAGAAGTGTTTGTTAACCACCTCGGTTCCTCGCTTGCGTGTACGCAATGTGCATACGCCTGTTACGTACCATTTCGAGTTTACTTATCTTACGTATTACGATTATTGGTCGAGTATTCTTATCCGAAGCCTCTTTTACCGTGTAACATTAATTCGATCGAGTCATCGTGTCACCTTTTATGACACCTTTTCCCCTCGTTAGGTACACTAGAGAAGGAAATGTTGTCGAGGACGTGCCATACGTTTCCCTGATTCAAGTACGATCACGGACTCGATTCGCACCCGTTTATTCAACAAGGAAAGGCCAGTGTTTGTCTAAAAGAGATCCCTAGACGATTATATTGACGGCGTGTGATGCGAGCGAAGACGACGAATAATTTGCAACATATAATTAGTAATACGCATAATTGTTGCTACGGTAGGACCTCGATCAATCGAGACTTTTATATAATTCTTCATGATCTAGATTATACAGAATCTTGGGTAAATTGGAATTCAATCTCTTGGATTCCTGGATTGTACCTTAGAATATATACGATCGAATTCGGCAAATATCTTTTCAAATGTTTCTTCTCGAATCTATAGACTCTGGACTGTTTATTTACCTGGGCTGTTTCCTAATTAAATTAGATAATCCAAGTTTTACTGTAATATACACTGGCCCTTAAAAGTATTCAAAATCGATATGTGTTGATTTCAATGAAATGTACGCACATTATCTTTACATGTACCCCAAGCATCATACATACAGGGATTTCAAGGTATTCGCCATTTGGTAAGTATAATATTTCCATTATAAATGTATTTATCCATTTCGAATACTTTTGTGAGCCAGTGTACATAACGATCACCGAATGCCAATAAACATTAATGTATGCACTATACAATTATAGAGAGTTATGAACCGATGATTGAGAATGTTCGATGCGCAAAAATTAAATAACGCTGGTGATGCAGTAAGCTTCAAAATCTGTCTCTTATAAAGTAAAGTGTGAGTAAAAAAGGTCATAAATAATTCATAATGTTATGTATTTTATATAAAGATAGCAACTCTCTGGCAGTTTACTTTCCAAAGGTTGTCATTTTCATTTTTGAATATACCACATTTCCGAGTTATTTTTATAAAAATATAACATAAGAATTGGAACGGGGTCGAAATTAAAGTAGAAAGAAGATAATTGAATCGGGAAACCGATTTGCAAAAGAGAGGTAGGTAATATAAAGAAAACAGTTCAAATATATAGATTTAACGTAAATTACTATTTGTAATATTAATTTTCCACGATAAATGATATTTCTTTCACAAATAAAAGAATTGAGATTAATGGAAAAAGGAGTATCCTATGTGCCATTTGACTTTGGTTTGGTATTAAAGTTTGCATCAAACATTCCTCGCTTCTTAGTTTTTGGTTTAGTGGAATAAGATCTGCATCGAACAACCTTCAATTCGAAACAACGCCTTTCCTAGTCCCGCCTTATAATTCTATTCAGCGACTGCGGAAATTGTTACCAACTATTAGACAGTGCGTAGAGGTGATGCGTCTTCGCTCGCACATATTCTATCGAAAATTGTTCTCTTAACGCGACCATGGTTTCAATGTAAATTCTATCACGCGTTTGGCCCCTCGTCCGCTGCAGAAAGTAGTAAAACGAATTCGTGCTCAGCACATGAACGCAAAAAGTAACCATAAAAGTATTATCGCCAACGACGACGTTTCTTTCGCGTGCGCAAATGGCCACGACGGAACTAAAAATTACGAAAATGGCCTGCTTTTTCGAGCAATTCGCGGAAACACCGTCGCAACGAATCCGAACCTTGTGCACAGTCTTATCGGAATATGATGCCAACAAAATACTCGAATGTTCTGTGGCAAGCAGGCAATTGATCCCGCCTATTAAGACTTTTATGTACAATTAACTTACTTGTACAGAACCAAGGACCGTTGATTCTCAGACGCTGAATAGGTGTCCCAAGTATCAGGGTAATTTTTTCTTCATCGACATATCAGTGGCGCAGAATAATAATGGTCTAATTATTTCTGAATTCTCAGGAAAAGATACTTTCGCGAAATGTCCTTGGATTACTTAATTACTATTATTTTAATTATCGATAATTATCTGTGATATTATTTGTAAATAATTGCCACTAATAATATTTATCAATAATTACAATTACTAACATTTGAAATTATTGATGACATTATTAATAACATTAATTGCGATTATTGATACCAATAATTATTGATAATTAATGAAATTAATAACATTGTAATATTATTTATTTAATTAATCTAAGAACGTTTTACGAAAGCTTTTTTTTCTCGAGAACTTAAAAATAGTAGATAGACTATTATTATTCTATGCCACTCATATAGAGATTGATAATGATAGTTGCAAAAAAATGTTGCTCTATTGAAAGGGATGCAAATTCATTTTTCTATCAGAATTCAATGAAACATTGCTTTGAATAATTGCTTTCGCGTGAAAACAGTTTTAACAATCTTAATGGAATCATAGTAGAACTTTGTACTCACTAAACGACATATTGTTTAACCCCTTGTCCGATGAATTTCTTCAAAAGTGCGTTAATTAAAACTATTTTATCATTAATAATTTACTGGAAAAAAAGAAGAATTCTATATTTGTCGTATGTGTGTATTTACAATTAACGATTGATAATAGAAAAATAATATTTAATTTCAAGTCAATCGAATATACTGATAGATATATTTGCTAAAATCTGTTCGAAATTTTCGTCACGAATCTGACACTATATAAAACAAGGTTGTTTCTCCTCTTTGTCTCTGTTACCTAAACCATTAACAGATAGTCCAAATGAAAGAATTTTGGTTGCAATAATTTAATTCGAAACATACACAACAGTTGTGTGTGTTGAATATATTACGTAAACGTAATAATTATTTAAAATGAAATTCAATATCAGAAAAGGGGTTGTTTTATTCGATTTCATTTCAATTTCATCACTTTGGATCTCTCGTTACTTTCAGATTATTGACTTACATATTTAATATGCTGAACTATTTCATCTTTCACAGTATAATCTCATCAACAAATCTCAATTAAATAACTTAAACAGTGCATAAAGTGAACCCATCTGAAACTGATCCGAGTTCTTATTTTCGTAAATTGGAAATGAGCAGTCCGTTGCTGTCGTTATGGTAAATGTCTAGATGAGTCACAACCTTACCGATTGCAATGACACTGAAATATATTGGCAATGTATGTATAGAGAAAAGTTATTCAGAATGATGCCCTTGACAACCTGCTTCAAGGTTATTTTGATTATTGTGGAGGTTGCTCATCCAAATATTTACCACATATTTTTACATGTAACACCAAAACTAAAAGAGACCGACTATTATGTGTACAGGAAAAAGTTACTCAGAATGACGTCTTTGACAATATATTCCGGTGTCATTAAAATCGGCGAGGAGGTTACTCATCTAGACATTTACCGTCGTTTACTATTCATCTTCAACGATAATAACCTATTATACTTTCCCTGCTAAATCGCGTAGCAAATTGTTTCAAAGACACAGACATATGATCACAAGCGTTTCAGTCGAGTCACGCGGTAACGATACTGTAGGGCACCAGTTGAGCGTCAAGGCAGCAACGCGCAAATATACGAATTGAATCCGAAAAGAGAAACGAAATAAATACAGGACGGATATGTTTAACTTCAGAGTTAGAGACGTTACATTCTATACGTCCTCTACGACGATAAAATATCTTTTTCTTTTCCGATAACGCGCGCGCTAAATGCTTCAGCATCAAATCTTTGCCGTGTGTACACGAATAGAATTGCTCGTAACGAAGACAACGAGGATCCTCGAGGATCTTCGAAGAATTCACAGGGACTGCCAGTCGAAGTACAGAAAGGATATCGTGTAGATTTATTTTCTTCATGTTTCCGATCGATCAATGCGGCACGCAGAACATATACGACTCTCGGATATGTTCGATCTGGATACACGCGTGATTCCCGTTCGAGTTTGCGCTAACGCGTCATCGCAATATTATTTTTTATAAGCCGCGGATACACCGGAAAGAAACTCGCGACATTTCTTTGCAAGAGTGACTTGCTAACAGCGATTTTAAATGCGTTCATACACTTAACGAAAGTCGCTATCATAAGAAAATGTTGCTAACCTGCTCAGATTTCATGTCGAAAAGATTTATTAGATTTAACCGCTTTAACATTTTCGCTGCCACTGTGGTCCCATGAGACCAGAGCTCCAAAATGACTTGAAAAAAATTATAATTCATTAGACAACTGATGTCGAATAAAAATATTCAATAGCATAAATAATTAGATAACAATGTAACGTAAGAATTGTGATAGCAAATAATTAAGAATTATTTCTTTTTATCTTTGCTGCAAAGGAATAAATGATACGTAAAACACAGATGTTTCTCGTGGCAGTCAACGTGTTAAATAACGGTGTACTCGAACTTTATTAATGCTTGTCCATTGTATTAATTACTTTTTTTATATAAATCATATAAGTAATATGGTCTACTGGAAAGTTCTGTTCGATAATGTCATCTCAAGTTTCCAAAGATGAGTGATTTCACAGAAATGGAATCCATAAATCACGCTGGAAGCAGGTCGCTAGTAACGATGGAAATTATATTGTTCAGTAAATATTAACAAATGTATTATGTATTATTTTCTTTTCATTCAGAAACGGACAGAACTTTCCGGTAGACCTAATATTTTGTTTTTGGTTTGCAGTATTTTTGATCATTTTGGTTGAATAAGAAATGCGTCGTCGCGCTATTTAGCATTTGTCTAGATGAGCTAAGCTATGTAAGTGCTATGGGGACGTTTGTGTCTTTTCGACAAGGTTTGCTTCGAACATTCTAGGACTCAAACTGCTAGTTTCTTGCTAGTGTATCTGGACCCATATGAGGGCATTGATTTCAAGACGGCGATCCTTTTCTCTTCCGTGTTCGTATATCTACACGTACACGAAACGTAACGTACGCCGAGTAAACACCAGTGATATCTTCATTACATTACATTTACATACATTAAAGCTGCACCTTTGTGTGTATACGAATACACATTTCAAGTAAGTATGTACAGTGACGTTACAACCCCGAGGATTTGGACCGTCGAGGTTGTTTAGGCCCGACTTCTCCCGATTCGATCCTCGTTCCTGTAGCCGCTGAATTCAATGCGAACGTTTAAATAATGTCGACTACATCATCGTTCAGTGATCCTTTCCCTTCGGATTCGTTTAATCTCATTTAATATATTTAGTTGGCGACCATAATTTATTTTATTTTTAAAGAATAAAGGGATGAAGAGTACATTGTTCGAGAAATAGAGAATCGAGTTGTTAGCTGGATTGGATTTTTATTTTTCAAAAACATCGTGAAGCTTTTAATTAATACTTCTTTCTTATGAAATGATAAATATGCTGTAAATATTTCTTCTTATGAAATTTTGGAATTTTCTTCGTAACAAGATTTTAACAAAATTAAGCGTGTTAAACATCACGAAGACGAAGCAATTTTTAAGATATTAGATAAGATGTAAATGATATAGCGTAAAAGTATTTGTATACTGTTGTGAAAATTGGATCAACCATATTTAAGCATTTATGACATATCAAAGGTAACATTTGGTAAGAGTTTTGAGAAGATTTTTGAAAAGTTCTTCATGTGACTTAAAGTTAATAACTAATCATTTATGCGAAGTTCTTGGACACTGCTATTCAGGAACCAGGCGACATATTTATGTAACAAAACTATCTAAAAAATGCAGTATAAAATATTTTCATGTTTTTATATATATATGTATATAATTCTAATTTAAAATTATTATACCAAAAAGTTGAAGTAATAAAGTGTATACCTATTAAGAAATACCGAGATCCAATTGCAACTTATAAATATAACAACACGAGTTGGGATCACCATTTTATGATTTGCATTTCTTCATTATATTTCTTAAGATTCGTTAATTATATACAATTTACAAGTTTTCTTAGAATGTGATCATCATTTCACAAATTATAATTGGAACAGCGACAAATTGCTCTTAAAAATCCCCTATGCGAATCGTTTCGGAGAAATCGGACCTTAGAAAAGAAGCGATTTTTGGTCTTTCTTCTAGGTTTCTAGCTGGTCGAAGTTTTGAGGAAACGAATGGTAGCTTCTCTCTGTGCGAAAATCTGCTTCCATCGCGCGTGCGTATTAAGAATGGAGCATGGTGTTACGAAGACTTTCAACTTTACCTCTGCAATTCTGTTTCGAAAGGATCATCGTATGTTCCGTTTCAAAATCCTTACTCCAGTATAGTACTTGCGTGATACTTCCAATGAAATTAAAGTATACATAGAACATTGTTGACCGGCAGAAGCTATTCCATGTCACCGGTTATTATTCCGTAATTAAATATGAAAGTGAACAATCTGAATAAACTTCAATATACTTTATTTATACATAATGAATTGAAATGAAACTTTAGAAGTATTTTTTGTACACCTTTTAATACTTTGCTTTTGCAATATTTTATATTACCCTGCGTTTCAAAAATTGAAATGGCTAATGCAAATGCAAGCACGAGTTAACTCGTGACTGGTCAACCATGTGTTAACAATAATACTTATGTTCGTGTATTTCTCAAGTCACACTTTAAACTTGTCATAATAATTTTAAAAATACTAAACAGATTTTACCAATATTCTATAATCAATATGCTTCATTTGCAATAAGAATGTTCGAAATGCCCTTTTATATTAATGGAGTTCAATATAAACCCTTCTAAGGTGAAAGTCTTCGTTGCTATGGAAAAATGTATGTTCGCAATTATACACTAATTGTAAGAAAAACAGGTACGGATAAAGACAGCGTTCCAAAGGCAGAACACTATGGAAATCCTTGCCAACATTAACGTAGTGTCCTTTCACTCACTAGCACTTCATCGAGAACAGACAGAGTTGTGCTCTAAGTACGTTTTATTTTATTTTCTCTCGCTCGTGCGTGCTTGATTTTTGTTTTCTTCTGTTCTGCCTACTGCAGATATCGGTAACTTTAGGCTACGTTTACGTTTGGGAGCCCGGTAAACTATTCCTATGTTTTGATAATAGTTACGCAATAGCTTGTAAAGCTAGTCGAGATGCCGAAGTAAGCGAGAAATATGAAATTAACGCCATCACGACGAATGTTCACGTCGAACGGTTTCAACTGATCCAGAAATATGTATGTATATACAATTTGTGACGGTCATTTTCGTGCATCGTTTTACATACAGTTCCATTTGCATCGTGGTCTCGTGTGTGAAATAACGAAAGCGTACGAGATAATCGTTGACAACGTTAGGTAATCGTTTCAATGATGTGTGTCTAGTTATGTACGCAGGTTTACTAACACATTGTCAATCATTCGCTATATTGTGTAGCGTTTAAGAAAATTGTCGTGTGTTTTTAAAAAAGAAAAGCAGACTACAGTTGCGATACAAGATACAAGATATTTACCATACCTATAACAATGAAGAAAAACTAATCGTATCAACTGCACTTCTATTTCAGAAATAGCGACTATTAACACGTATCTTCGTATCGACTACTTCCAGTTAAGTCTGTTAAATGAAAATCAAATACTTCCGTCAATAAGAAAATACACGAATTTCTATCGATACTATCAGATCTTTGTAATCTCGATACTATCCAATTCTTGCCGAACATAAGTCAAATGGTTTACCGAACACACTAACGTTCAACGAGTTTGTTCTTCGTCAATTCAGAATGAAAGGTTTTTTTGAAGCGAGCGATTTATAAATAAACGCGACTTTCTTGTCAACGAAGCGTAAGAAAAATCGGAAAGCCTGTATATGTACAAATCGCGAAAATTGTGCGACCAAGGAAAATGGAATCGAAGGTTCCGAATGCTGTCGAGTGCATTGGTTGTTCGCTGAAACTGTGAGAAACGTTTCGTCGATGGGTGACGCACACCGATTGGACACGCGAAGGTACATCGAGTCGAACGGTCCTGCGATGAAAGGGTAGGTAGCGCAATTATAATAACGAGATCAATGGAACGTCGCACGGTGGAATAGGACAGTGGTAAACAAACAGTATAAATAAGTCGTAGCTTGGATTCTTAATTGTACACTTGACCTTCGACGTTCGTCCGAGCACCGGGAGGAACCGGTTATTCTTTTGAGACAAGCAACACGATTACTAGTGTCACCGAAGTACTGCCAGCATGTTCATGAGTTACTTCGTAGCCTAAAATTACATATGTTTCTGAAAAACAGTACGGCCCGCCGGATTTTTCATTCTTCGGACGCGACCGGTTGCGCGGAATCGCCATCTTCGCGGTTCTCGTTCGCCTTCTGTTCTTGCTCTTTCTGGGCCCTCGCTTCGGCATCTGTGAAAAATCATCGTGACATACCTGTTAATTAATATTAACTATATTAATATACCTACAAATTGATATTAACACATTACCCTCTGCAAACATAAAAAAAAATTTTTTTTCTTGATTGTTCGTGAAATGCCGGAGACGTATAAATAGGCTTTTCACATATGGTTTCCGTAAAGACGGCGACTTCCGTACAGACGGACACTTTTCACACATTTAAGGTTGCTTTCACTTCAAATTTCATAAAAAACTATTTGATAATTTGGAAGTTATATCAATTTTTGTAAGGTGATGCAACAGAGTCGAAAGCCTTAAAATACGCCGGCTACATGCAAAAACTTTCGTACAAACAGTCCGAACCGTATTGTGTTTCCTTCATTTGATAAAATTATAGATGAGGAAAAGAACTCACTAGCTTCAGTCTCCATAGGAGGTTATATTATTTTATATCAATTTTTCCTTAATAATATAAAATATAATTCCTTCCTTGTCCTTTTGGGACAGAAAACTTTTTGTGTTATCCAGCGATCCATTCCAATTTTAAAGTTTTAACATATTGTTGACCGATCGCGAGTTAACTCGTGTTTGCACTTGCTATTTTAATTTTTGAAACGCAGCAATATAGAATAATGCAAAAGCAAAATATTCAAAGTTATTTAAAAGATATGTCCAAAGTTTCATTTAAATTCATTACGTATAAACAAAGTATACTGGAGTTTATTTAGATTGTTTCACTTTCACATTTAATTACGGAATAATAACCCGTGAGATGGAATAGCTTCTGCGTAAAATTGGAGGTCAACAATGTGTTAGTAGATGAAAATAGAAAAAGAAAATATTTGATAACTACCTCGAACAGCTTGCTCCTTCCAAATCTTTTTGTTCTCTGCTAGGGAAGGAATCCAAGGCTTTCCAATTTTGAATCTTCTGGCTTCCGCGTTTGATCCTGCGAATTGTTCGTTGTATGGATACGGTCCGAATATGAAGCGTATTAAACTGTGACGTAGATAATCTCACCGTTATTAGACTCATCTACGCTCTCCTTGACGTTCAGCGGTGTGAGAACCGTTTCCAACATGTCGCTGCACACCTGCATGCTGGGTTCAACGATAAATTCTATGAACCCTATTTGCGATTCTGCCACCAGAGTATTGTTACGGTCACACAATGGAGAAAACGGCAAACCAAGGGCCCTTTCTTTGTCCCCTTGGCGGAAAAATTCTTCTAGCAGTTGCATAGTCCATCTGCATATCACACCAAAAAGATGATGCTTTTCGACTGTCCACTTTTACTTGTTAACTGTGGAATTTACTTTCAAAAATCTGTCGTTCTTCGCGCAATAAAAAAAAAATGAAATGTGTACTCGTCAAACGCAGGAGGAATGCACCTAGGGTATATTTTAATGAAAAACCAAAGCAAAACAAAGAAAATTACATGTTTATCTGAAAAAAATAAAGAATTTATCGTTGACAGAATTAGTATCATTTCAAGCTTTAAGATGGCGTGTATACTCGTCAAACGTAGTTAACTGGTTAATCCTTGTGTTGGTAAGCCAAATGTCTGCATTTATTACAATTTTAATATTACAATATCTTGCCGAATTTTATTTGAAATCTTCGCCACAAGACGTTATTGTCAAGCAAGGGCTTAACGTTTATGTTAGCAAGCAGGTATCTATTTCGAAACCTTCTACATCATTTTATTCAGTTCTGAAAAATTCATATCTCTTTCAATTTCCATGTTTTAAATAATTCTGACATTGAGCATTGCTTTGAAAATAAAGAATTCACACAATTTTTCAGAACTGAATGAAATGATGTAGAAGGTTTCGAAATAGATACCTGCTTGCTAACATAAACGTTAAGCCCTTGCTTGACAATAACGTCTTATATTTGTGGCGAAGATTTCAAATAAAGTTTAAATGAAATATTATTTTTCTATTATCAGTTGTCCCTTAGGGTAAACGTAGACATAGAATGAACATGGAATTTGTTTCTTTTTATAGTGAAAACAGGAAATGTAGGAAACTTCCGAAATTACTGTAATGAAACTATTTGTATATATAGTGTGTATTAATAATAGGTAAATTTTGGTTGAGAGGATGAAATATTCTAATATTTTAATATTATAATATTACAATATTCTAATATTCTGTATCTAACTAGTATTATATTATAAGTAAATGCAAATGAATATTTTCTTCTGAAAAAGAATGTTCTGTTAGTTGTCTCTAAAAATTGAAACCGATCGAACGTTTTCCTAGGCGTTCAACTGAGAGAATCAAGAGGAACGTAACTACGGTGGAGGCTTCGCTTTCAAATTATTTAAAAATCCGCTAACAGTGGTGCGTAAATCGGGTCAGTAGTCGCACCAACGGAAGCACATCATGCGAAAGGCGGACGCTTACTTTGAAGTTGAAATTGAAATTGAAATTCTGAATCTCACGTAACATTTTCTAAATGATCAACGTTTAAATTCATCGTTTTTATTAAAAAATTCAGTAAACAGGTACTAATATTTTCCTATGGATTTCAGCTGGTAGTTATTGGCTCATCCTACAAATATTTCAATTCTGTACACTTCTTATATTTAAAAAAATTAAAATAAACAAACATTTTTTTAATTTAAAATATATTCCCCTTCATTATCTATAGATTCTTCGTTGTTTAGATAGACATTAGATTCAATAGATTTAATGTTGTGTTGTAGTTTGTACGGATATTTACTTAAAAAGTAGTGGAATTTTTAATTTTTTTGTATCTTGTTCCAAACAAAAATAATCCTTTATTCTATTTTCCGAATAGATAATTTACCTGTGATGAAGGTCCCATCTTTTGGCTGGGTGTGAAATGTCGCAGCAATGGAGAACGAGACTGACTGCTTTGCTTTTGTCGACGCTAGGCTCTGCCAAGCTCAGAATGTTCTTCATGTTTTTCAGTTGTTGGAAGTGAAAGCTCATGTCAGTCGCAAGAACCATGTCGATGACAAGTGAACGAAATTCTCTGAATTCCTCCCTCGACAGATTTTGCAGTATGTTGCATTCGTCCTCTTTCAATATCCTGAACAGTCAGTGACATATGTTACAATTCATTCTTTTATCATAAGATTATTAATTACTATTTTTCACGTAGCAAATAGAAAAATACATAATATAACAACGTCTTTATAATTCTAGTATTTGTTTATTACATAGTATTTCAATGTTTACGTACAGTTCGCCTTTTTTGTCCTGAGCCTCGGTCTAACGGCTAACAGGGCAGTGGAGCAAGGCGAAACATTAATGACCTTTCACTCTTCAGTTTTGGTACGACTATGTTATTGGCCCGAGTCGCGCACAAAGAACACAAGTGAAATGGAATGCGAATGTGAGATGTAAGAAAAAATAAATTGACTTTTTAAAATTCCTTTATAAAAACTCCAAGAGTACATCTATCGAGACTTTAATTAATTTACAATTCAATTTGAGTATTACTAAATCAATTTCTTTAGTAATTTTTTAGAGAAACATCCGTTGTCTTTTTAATAATTGCAAAAAGAGGAAATCAGGAATGGGCCATTTTAACTCGTCTGGTAGTTTTAATGCTAAATCATGCTATAGAACTAACGAGATAATTATGGCGAGTAATTTAAATATTAATATTTATTTAATGTTATTTTAATTATATCTAAGATTAATTTATTTTAATATAGCGATTACCATGGTGATCATATGAGATATGTATATCTCTTTCAATGATGTTATTATAGCTGCTTATAATAAACACTAATATATTTTAAACGACATATATAGTTGCAAAACAACGTGCATAAAGAAGTATACTAATAAGAGTTACTTAATTATAATATACATCAAACGCATGATAGCATCTCAGTGTTTGTCAGTAGCTGTAAGTGGGACTTCTATTTTCTGACTATCATTTTTGATAATGATAAGATTCCACTTAATTTCATTAGGGAATATTTTATCATTATATACTTATGATAATAAAAGTTTTACTGTGGCACATACGATTAGATAAAAAAACACACAAGACTGTCAATTTTACTCAATTTCAAATTTTTATAAATGTTTATTCTTATATATATGTATATATATATATATAAAGCAATATAATATGAAAAAATAAACAAAATCTTCAAAGCGTAGTGCTTTTTATAGTATCTGTTAGGAAAAATAATTTTCTACCGTAATTTAATTATACTACTTATATTTTTAAAAATTTGAATTTACATAAATGTCTGTAGTTTACCAATTTGTATGTGTTTTGGTTATTTATTTATCTGGAATAGCAAGGATTTTCAATAGACCAACATATTTTTAAGACTTAATTGCTCGTAAGTAGTATAGGTACAATGTTTTATCTTCTTTTCTTGCTTGTTAATTTTTTGACGCATACCCTGTTATTCACAAGCTGTTGTAACGACCGCCATCGAAATACGATACGGCTTTCAAAATTCCTATCACGAAGGTCGTCGTGAGGAGAGGAGAGGAAGGGATTAAAACTTTGCACTTTAAGCATATGACATATGCTTGCTTTACTAATCCCAGTTTCTCGGTCCAGTTGACTTAAACTAACGCGCAGATTGCAATTAAAATGAAAGAGAACGTTTTACGCGTTTGTTTTGTGTGTGACAGATTTAGAGTTCTAACATTTTTTTGTTTCTTTTCATATTTCGTAAGACAATGCTGTTAAATAAATAAAAATATTTTGTTTAAATAGTCAAACCATGGATAAAGTCTGAAGAAAATTATAGAGGATTAAATTAAACTAAATTAAATTAAATTAAATTTCAGAATTTTCAAATTAAACATATTTAAAAATCTGTTTTTCTTTATTTCTACCTTGTTTCTTTCATAGAAAGTGTAAAAATGCAGTCACGACAAATGTAAATTTATCTTTCTTTTTTAAAATAAAATTGCACGTTCGTTGGTTTCATAAATCGATTGTTCTAAGGGGCGTCGATCCGGCGATGCGATCCATTCAACGTAAACCACTTCCACATCGCGTTCTTGAACGCCCGATTAAACCGTTCCATCACGGAAGCTCTCTGAACGTGAAACAATGATTGATGTTGTACTTTTTCACGTAATCTTGAAAATTGTTCTTATAAAATCCCTTACCCACGAGGATCTGCCAATTATGTTCGTGAGGAGTTTTGAATGGATATTTAGAAGAAAGGCCTTTACTACAAATTAACTAAAAGTTATTTTTCGTAAAAAAAGAACAGACTGTGAAGTAAAGAATGTTTTTAAAAAGTTATTTCTTAATTATTACTACAAATCTCAAAAATTAAGCATAAAAGAAAAATGATCATTGATTACGTTATGTTGTAACTTAGGCTTGTGTGATATGATGGAATAATTTAACGATTCTATGCAAAAATTGAATGCCTATTAGCAAAGAGAAAAAGAGGAGTTGATTTAATTCTGTAGTTTTAAAAAGTAATAGATCACTTTTTAATCATTGCATCTTTCAATTTGTTAAGTCGCTAAAGAAAACAGTAATTTGTTTTTCCGTCGTTTGCTAAAATTTATGAAATGTGGTATAAACTCTTCTTCGAAACATTTCTTTCTTTCTTATCTCGCTTTCGTTTTTCCTATATAGAGGAATTTACTATTTACCTCTCGCTAAAAACATTGTTAATATTACGCTAATCAAACAACCTCATCATCGAACGTCAACGACATCGTCGAATCCGCGTACTATCACCGACACGCGCAACTGTTCTACTTTGTCCTTCATCATTCATTTTATCGTTTTTCATGTTATCGAAAACAAAAATATTTTGAAAAAATCCATGAAAAAATTGTATTGTACAATTTTCAAGATACAATCATTCGTTTCTTCTTTCGTTTACTGGGACTTATGTTAATCCAGTGAAACGTTATCTTTTTTCGGTCGAAACTATTTCACCAACATTAACGTAGCTTGATATTCGTACTTTCAACTTATTGATCCTTCGATAAGACTTTTGTCAATGTTTCCCGCATTCGAAAGCGATTAATCAGCCGTGATAAGATTGTAAACGATTGTCTTTGTATCATTTTATGTTCCACCTATTCGATCGTAGAAATCAGTGTTTCCACTTGATGTATATTACTGATTACGCCTTTAACATTTCGTATCAACGGATATTTTTACATGTTCTCGCGATTCTTCCGAACAGCGTTCAAATTGACATCGATGTTAATTGCAGAACTTGCCACGCGTCTTATCTTACAATTAGTAATTTTTTGCACGTCACAGGATTCACCATGCAAACACATTACATAATCGCTCGTGTGATTTCTGCACAATAACGTAACACGGCTTCAAATTCATTGATCCACATTTCGTGTAATTACAACCGATTGAACGATTGCAATGATAATTTATAGTGAAACGTATCTTCTGTATCGCCTTTTTTCATTCTGCTCGTTCGTGTTTCTCGTTGATTTCAGCATCACTCGTCTTTATTCACTGCTTCACGTAGATGAAAATAAGAAACCGATGCGACTTTGTAAAAATTCAAAATGTCAGACAGTTGTGAATCATATCGAGGATGATCTTACGTTGTTTAATACTAAAACTACCGAGCAATTACAGTGAGTTATTTCCAACTTTTATCAAAATTAGAACTATACGTTTCTTGAGATTCGGAGGGTCACCTAGTATTGTATCTGCGCAGATACACAAATTTAATATTAAATCGAAAGATAAACAGGTCTTCATAGTAAAAATATTTTAACAATAGTGAGATAAACGCTTTATATTTCAAATCGCACGTATTGAAATATCAATTATATAAATCTGTTATATGCCTGAAACAACGTCTAACTTACGGGAATTCAGATGTCAATGCTTCGGGCGCGGCGCGATGTATTGGGAGTGTGAGTTTCAACGGAAAAATCTCGAAGGGCGTCGCGAAATTGATAAAATTTTAGCCAAAAACCGCGGCGACGTATAACTCCCGTAGAAGCAACGTTTCGGTAGAAAAGCTGCCACAAGTGCTGTCTGCGTTACCGTGAAAGCTGAAATGGAACCTGGTGCGGGACAGAGAAGCCGTAAGGCGAAGAAGAGGCAGAGGAAAAATGAACGATGGCGGGTACAAAACCAGGCAGCATTCTTCCATTTATCTTGTCCTTTTTGTCGATTATAAGAGCGCTGACGGGTGGGGCCGCAGCTGTAAACGATGCGAAAGCCGCATGTTTCGCGGCACGACTTCTAGAGCATTTCGTAGCAATTTCGTAGCATACGCAGAAGGAATATTAACCCTTTTACGAATACTGACATACATGTGTACATTAGATTTTAGTTTAACATTGACATACATCAAACGGACATTTGTTTTTTTCGAATGTTACTCATAATTACCTCTGTCCGTCTTCGTATCATTCAATTCGTGTCAATTTAAATAAAATAAACTGTATTCAAACAATCTGAAACCATCTTTTTCCAAGGTTTCTTTTAGAACGTGGTCGAACAAATTCTTACGAACCTTTGAGTATACTTATTGATTTATTGATTTATGGTATTATTCAAATTCTTCTACAATCGATTACGCTTTTTAATTTTTCTAATATATTTCTCCAGTGTCGACAACCGTTGTTTTATGCATTATTGGCATAATTCTAATATATCTCTTCTTGTTAGCTTACCAGACCTGAAGAAGTACCTTCCTCTTCTCTCTTTTTTAGCAACGAACTCATGCATAAACATTTCTATAGTCATATGGCAAAATGTGATACACCCAATTTCCATGAATAATTCAAATAATTCTTACGTCTCGGAATAATTAATGAAAATATTTTAATTTGTAAAACTTTCTGATTTTTCACAAAGAAACTTAAAATTTTCATGTCACTGGCCACAAATTCAAATTTTTATTTGTATTTAATGCGTCAAGTTTGATGATAGCACACAGAGCTTTTAAGAGGAATGAATGGTTCACCGTATTTACACATCGGACCAAATGAACTACGCAGAACAAAGAAATTCTGAGATAACCTGGAATAATAATCAAGCTGCAATGCCGCATGAAATAATTTCTTTGTCCATATTAATACTTTATAAAACAGATATAAATGATCGACAGTTTTCGAAGCGGCATTCCGGGGAAAAAGAATTAAGCAAACAGTTAATTTTATAGAATTACCTACTTGACCTTTTAGAATCGTGTCCCCGTACAAAAATTCATTTTATTCAAAGTTGCTGATTAAAATAATTCATCTATTGCGTCTAGTGTTTTTAGTAGATGATTTGCATTTTACGTGATACTGCATAATTTTCAGTCATTTAAGTAGTTCAAATAGTAAAAATCTGCCAATTTCGACTTTAATTAAAGATTTTAATATCACTGGCCTCGTGTAATTCTAATTGCAACTGTAATCACGTAACGAATAAAATCATCGTTGACTTTTTAATTACTAAAAAACGAAAGAATCATCATATATAGACTATAATTAACTCTTATTGAAGGTTAACCCTCTACACTCGAAAGTTTTCTCGCCAGATATATTCATCATTTCTTAATCAAACATTAATGATATTTCTTACAACGAACACAAATATAAATAATACAAGAATCAAGAGATAGAACTATTACAAAGAACTAGTACATTCCATGTACAACTACGTTACACAAACTTTAAGACTGAACATCAAGCTTTATAATTTTCCTGTATCAAACTAAATGGCGATTATCAATTGCCATTCGATGCGATGCGGCAAAATTAGAAAGTCTCATGTGCAGTATTAAATTTCATAAACCGTATTGATACATGAAATATTGAAATAGGATAATTGTGTTCTCCAATTTATAAGAGATTCCTCTGTAAATTATGTAGTTGCGAGGAATATCATTGATTTGTTGAAAAATAATAAGTACAGTAAAAAAGCTTTTAACTCCTTGCCTTACAATATCGTGTCAAACTGGTGATGAAGATTTAAAACAGAATTTAACAACTATACATTTTATTCAATTCGTTTGACTGGGAATTACATATGATTCCCCTTACATAGTTATGAATGATTATACCTTAGAGCACACATTGACATAGAATAAGACAGAAATTCCCTTTTATTTTCAATAAATTACGAATAACAAATTAGACAAATTGATCAGAGTTTGGAAAGAAATCATAGGGCAAGGAGTTAAATTGAATTTCGTGTTCAATAAAAGTATAATCTATCGAAAACCCAACAGTTACTACGTTCCACAACTTACTCGGCTATAATTCCGAAAACATTTCTCACTGGCTGATGACACCTGCCGTGGGATTCCGATAGAAATCCCTGAAGATACGTATATGTAAACCGAGGTGACACAGAGTCACCCGACGCGTCAATGGAAATAGAGGGCGTAATTCGCTATTAGCGGCAGGCAAATTGAAACGAAAATGCCTGGTAATTGTAGGCTTGTATCAGCGCTGGTCGGCTTTCGATATATGCGACCTTTCGATTGGTTCGTACGTACCGGAAGCTCGCGGAGATGTGGTGATTTTCCAGCACCGCTCGGTCATTGTAGAGAAGTGCTGTATCGCTGCCGGACATTACGTGGAAATTGTTTGTGGTCCCAGTGTGCTCGTAATCGTGAATAAGCGCCGCCACCAGAGTGGCGAAAATCTCCAAGTCGGTCAACCAATTCTGCGAACAGGCGAATACTAGATTATTTCTCGGAGTATAATTTACAAGAGACGAGCAACTTTCTAGCGCACGAGCAACCGAGGTTAATTAAAATTTATTTCTTGCTGCCCGGCCCATTGGGATTCGTTCGATTCCGCGGGATTCCTTTGAACAGTTCACCGCGAGATTCGGTAGAACTGCGGTCAAAACTTTTAAACGGAAAAGTTTACTACTGTATTTTTTTCTTTTTTTCGCCGCGGCCATCGCTGAAAGATTATCCGGCACAATGTTCGCCCCTTAAGAGCGGATTGCCGGAGTTTGAACACTGTTTGTTGATATTGGAATAGTGGGAATTGAGGGAAACTACGATAATAACTCGATCCGTAAATCGGAACTGGTTTACTTTTCCCTCCTTAGGGAGGTACCGTTGAATGCAATGTATAGTGCACGATATTAACAGGGGAAGATACTCAATTGTCCGAGATCGATTTTGATAGTTCTTTTTTTTTATGAGATGATAGCATATATGTTCCTAATGATATGTGTAAAATATTAGATATAGTTAGTCAGTAGTTTTGGATATATGAACAATTAACGTCAAAATTAACTTGTTAATAGCTTTAACAAGTATTCATTTTAATATCCATTTTATAGTATTCGGTTAGAAAACATGAAAGAAATTCGAGATTGTGGAAATATTAAATTGAAGATTGAATATATATCTACTATTATACCTAATAAAAATACATTCATCTGTCCGTAAAATTGGTCGGGCGAAGTATGCATCAGTTTGTTCCTGTTATACGAGAAATTGGTTAATCTGCATTCTTTGTAAAATATTTTCTGCGAGCAAAATTTGTTTTATAAATTGATAGAATGGATGGAATTTTTGGGATATCGAAACTCGCTGAATTAAATTTTGAATAAATTTGTTCACTATTTTTTTCGATGGGAAAATTGAGGTTGATTTTTATATACAATGCCATTATTTGCGAATTAACGTGTTAATTCGATTAGGTTTATCACGATAAACCATTCATGATATGAACCGTAGAATTTAGATTATTAAACATCATTTGCTTTCAATTGAAGTCAGTCACCCAAAACTAATTGGGTGCATGATATTCCGAGTAAGCATGTCCCATAACAGATTAATGTTGAGCCTTACAAACACAAAAGGGTTAAATTGAAAATTAAATTATACGATTGGTTTGATTTCACGAGAATATTCTATTTCATACAGGAATATTATCGTTTCGTAATGCACGCATATCTATTACTTATAATTAGGAGTATTAGGAAGGAGAATTACATAACAAATTATTTCATAATCTAAACTTTAAATTGTCAAAATTTATTAAATATGTTAGTACGAACGATATTAAGTAAATGATGTGTAATGAAGATTATTAACCGGGTAGGATAATTGATTATGTTAATTGATCGTGTTTAAATTTTATGACGATTCTATAATTATTATATGACTACTTTTGATGACTAAAAATACCAAGCGTTTGGAATAAGCGTATACAGTATTTCCAATAATAAAACTATATTATAGTGCCGGAGGGAATAATTTTTAGGTCATGTATTGTATGATATTTTTATCTTAATCAATAGTGTTTAATTATCGATACCACCGTTTTTAGTCACGAAACATGACACGTGATGAAGAATGAACACAAGAGGGCGGAAGGAAGGGAAGCGATGAAACTCGAGGGGTAGTTGAAAAATGAGACGGTGTCGTTTAGCGAGGTAATCTTGTCGGTTGATATAGAGAGAGGAAAGATGAATCGACAAAATAGAGAAAAAAATGAAGATTTTATGATGTGAGAATATCTTATTGGAATACATTCAAATTTTATCATTATCTCGACTTTTTATATGTATTTCAGGACATTTATAATCTTATTTCTATTTACTTCTATTTATTTCTATATATTTGCATTTACTTCTGTTTGCTTCTATTTACTATCGTAGAAATACTAATTTGACTTGTTTTAATTATAAATAAAAATGAAGCACAAGTAGCTCACATGAATACCAATAGTATCTTATGATAATGGGCAAGCTCAATTTTGGACGTGGACTACGTTGCTGTCTACTATTACTATATACTTCAATATATAATGAATATATATAACAAACTATATTCTTTTGAAAGTAAAAAGATATATGCTGTTTTGATGAAGTTATTTCAATTGATACTGGTAAATGTCGACCAGTAAATCTTTATGGTAATGACGGACATAACTGTTCATGTTCTTGTTTATATACGTTCTAGTTACAATGCCCCAAAAGGTGACGTGTATATATACGCTCCGGTGATGCAGTTCAGGGAACATCCGCGCATATATGTGCTAATGATGCAAATGGGTTAATTAAGTAACGTTTATTTATACACAATAATATAGACATATTACAAACTTACCATGAGACCGGTTTGACACAAGATGTAGTGCATGGTTTGAGCGACATCTGCAGCGTGAAGATTATTATGATAGGGATTCCGGTGCCTGCAATAACCTTCTTCGACTCTTCCCAGAAAGCACTCCAACACCGCAGGAGGGACTTTGAATTTGTGGATCATTCCGTATCGATTGAGTAGATCGTAACCAAGATACTTCACCGGAGCTCCCATTGCGGCCTCGTTCAAGGAAAATACGTCAAAGGACCAGTCGTCTAGAGTCTTAAACAAATAACGTGAATTTAATCGTTACGAGAATGAAGTAGAACTTGATCATTCGATCGAGTTTATTGTGAGAACAATTTATTTCTAAGAATTTCGTCTGAACAAAATTTAGTGGCTATAGTAATAATACGAATAATACGAGAATTATGTTATATATTTTTGCATTTTAAACATTTAATAATAACTGTATGATGAATCTGCAACGAAGTGTATATTTTCTAATTTACACAGTTAAAAATTAGAAAACCGTACAACTGATGTAGGTGTGAGTTAATATAGTAACTGGAAAGTTGAATCCAAATTGCGTTCGATAGTTTTTCATTGAAAATATCCAACATTTTCCTATGAAATATGGCGGAGATTCTTCGAAAATATACATAAATTAAGAAACAAAGTTATTTTATTTCAATATTTCACAATTTAATGCATTATGTAAAGCATAATATTATATACAAGACTTTATAATTCTGGTATATCGAATCAAGCAGTGATTCAGTGTCACCTTTCGAGTGAAAAGGGTTAAATGATCTATTTTAAACATTCTAAGTTAAACAAATGAAATATTGGTTATTTAGAAATCATTCGTCATACATGTATGAAATACTTAAAGTATTATTATAATGGAATAGTAAGTAAATCTATAATAGTAATATAATAAACAGGTCAATTTTTAACATTTTGGATCATAATAAGATCACGAAGTAATTCGTGAGTACCAGAAATCCGGGAAGGATCCAAGATTACTAGAGGGTTTAAGGATTCACGGGACTTTCAAAGTTTCAAAGGAAAGTATACCGATGGAGTCGGAGATTACAAGGGTTTCAACCCCATGGTACCCATAACTTCCTTGAATCTTCTGGGACTTCTTATGTTAGATCTTTGATCCCCCTTCGACTCTCCAAGGAATTTCAAGATTCAATCAAATCTGCCAGGATTCTTTCAATGGACGAATCCGGTACTTTTGAACAGTTTCCAATTGTGTGATATTTTTAAAATGCTTTGGAAATGTACATTTTATTTCCACCTTCTAATATTATTCTTAATAATTGTGCTTTGTTAACAGATTTGAGATCGATAACGCAGTCCTACGTCATTGTAAAGTCTTCCTAATTTCTTTTCTCTTAGTTTAACACTCTGTAAACGTATGACCATTTGAACATTTATATTCTGTGCATATCATTTCTTAGTTTTTATATTTTAAGTCACTTAGATTGTTTTTGCGAGAAATATGATAATACTAATAGTAATGATATAGTCGAACCTCGATAAATCGAATTACAAAGGAACGAAAAAACCTTCAAGTTATAGAAATTTCTGCCCTTTGTTATTGCCGCGCGCCAATAATGGCCATGCATCGAAAGCCGAGATGGCCCAAGCATCGTGAGTGGAAGAGTCTCTTTGCCCCTGTACGCTTTTAGTTTGGTGGTCGATGGAGTTAACATGAGAGACATATACATAATATCGTCGTCAGAAGTATTGGCGCTCCTCTTGGTTACGAAAGGAGCAGGGAGGCAAAGGGATTTTTCCAGTCTCGATGCTCAGGCCGTCATCGCCTTCAGCACGTGATTAGTGTTGGCGTGCGGCAACACACAGAACGGAAGCGGGACTAAATGCGATAGAGTGAGATGTAACGATAGAAAACAAAATTTTCTATAGTTCCTGTTCACTCCCTCGTATTCGGTCTCGCTTCTGTCCTTTTTTATTGACGCGCACCAATAATAACCAAGCAATTTCCTCCCTGATTTCTTATCGTCGTAGGGAGCCCTCAACACTTCTAAGCCGGACAGTATAAACGTCTTCGTATAAAAAGAAAACATGAAATGATCGTATGGGATGAACTATGTAGTAAACAAACTACCTTAAGTACTTTAACCACTTCTTGTGGGAACTGCATCATCGCGGTACTGGTTACCCGCCTGTAAATCCGATCGACGAAAATGCCTGCCCTGATAGCATGTGCCACCGAACGGAACTTGGGCTTCTCGTCCGCCTTCCGTCTGGTGGTCGCGAGCTGCCTGGTAAAGGTCGACGCGAGCCATTCCCGCACTTCCGGTGGCACCGCGTCCGGTTGAACTTCGGACAGTTCATCATCTTCGTCGGCCAGCCGCCTAAGGAAAATTTCTTCTTTATTCATCTGTTGATCGACCGGACAGATGTGCGAACGTCGGATCACGATGATAATTCCTACCTTCGCTACGGATTAATAGAACAGAGTCGGGTTACCACCGCTAATCATTTCTCACCCTTTCTGTTTTCTTTTTTTTTTATTTTATAACGAGCACAACGGAAAAACACGCATCATGGATCCCTAGAGGTTACGTGCTATTGTTTCATTTCTTTTCTTTTCTTTTCTTTTCTTTTCTTTTCTTTTTCTAAATGTACATCAAACGGATGGTGAGTGAAACAATAAGTGGTCTTTGGTTTGCTCGTTGGTAATTTTGCTTACGTATCTCACAGTTTTCGTTTCGACGCATTTCAAGTTGTTTCGCACGATCACACAAGGGGATACATATATCGGAGTTTTTGTGTATGAATTAATCGATGAAAAGCAATTTCTCTTTTTATGTTGATTG